CATCAGCCTGGTCAACGTCATGTCGCTCGATTTCATCCAGATTCCAGTCCGATGAGAATTCAGTGTGCCCTCTGGTAACACCTGACGTGTTCCTCACTGGTGGTGCAATACCAGCACCCCATGTTATCAGGGGTGTGCGTGTATTATCCGGATGTCCATCACCATGACTACCCCAATCGCTCATGCCGTGATCGGCCGTGAAGATGAAGGCTGTCTTGTCGTCGGCGTAGAAATCTTCGATAAGTTGCGTAATTCTCTGCACCCCTCGGTCCACAATTTGTAGATTGTGCAGGTACTGCCATGAGTACGGTCTGTGTATATGGCCCGTCGTGTCAAGTCCTAGCAGGTGCAAGAAGAATACATTCTTCTCCTTTCGTAGCTCAGCATCTAATGTCGCATTCGTTTTTGCGTCAGCAAAGAGCTTCTCAACACGCTCAAAGACCCATTCGTCCAGTGCCCAGGCGTCTTTTGACGAATCCTCGTCCTCAGCGGCATAACAGTATGCATCCACTCTTCCTGGAACTGCTCCCGCTTCGAACATGGGAAGGATGTCGGGACTGCCCCAGCTCCATGTATGTCTACTTCGGTTGAAGACGCTGTCGAAGTTGACTGGGTTGAGCTTCCATCCTGTTGTGACAGCAGAAACATCCTCATACAAGCCTGCAATGAGCGCAACATGCCCGGGACGCGATTCCGTGGGGACACGAGTATGCGAGACACCAAAAGTGCCTTTTTCTAAAACACGAGAGCGGAGGAACGGAGCGAGGGGACGAGGGGTGTCTACGTCGTCTGCGAGAGCGGCCGGCGGATTGGGGTCAGGGTTGGGAAACGATTGAAATGCTTTATCTGCGCGGAGACCATCGCCTGGCATATGGTTAGCCTGTCAACTGTTGCATAAAGACGACGCATCTCACCAACAAATAGTACCAATCGCTTTGCGGGAGCTTCTTGCGTCTCCACGCGGTGTTCGCGCATGCCATGGACAATAGGGCTGACAAAGTAAATTGAGAAGCAAGAATATATGTACGTCAGATGGAACACTACCGCAATAAGCAGGAACGCATACCGCCTGAATTGCGACATTGTGAATGAGTGTAGAGAAAGAAGGAGGCGCGCCTCGAGGACACGTTTTGTTGCGACGCGACCCGGTACTCAGTACTCAGATGGTTGACGCTCTACGATGTTGTCCCTGCCAAGAGTTTACGTACGTCGTCATGGAAAGGAGACAGACCCACGTTGCCCCTCGTTCCCGCTGTCAGACAAGTCAAACACGCATTTCACACTGTGGACACTATTCGTCAATCAACCGGTCTACTGCGATCCCCTGTGCCATGGGTGATCAACGGAACAGCAAGGTTGGCGCTGTGTCGCCCAAATAGGAAATACCGAGCTTGAGCTCCGCACAAGCGACTGCATCTCATTTCGTACGGATCACTTGATGGTTATGAATGCATGTCATTGCTACCAAACCTCCCACAGCAAAACCTCAAAGTATCTGGCAAAGCGACCGATTGCTGCTTGTATGGGCATTTATCCATCATACACCAAGCCTCTTGTCTATTCTTCCACGTTGAAGTTTGCACCTTCCCTAAGGCCCTCAACAACGAGCTCCTGGCCTTCTGCACGCTTGTAAATATCCTTGATATCATCTGGTACCATGTTAGCATTGCTGAATTGTGTTGAAGTGACGCGTCTTACCAGTCGTTGTCTCGAAGTGGCTCGTGGCATCGTAGCTCTTTGACAAAAAGATGTTGTCATTAACACCACTCTCAATTGGCTCGTAGAGAGGGATAGCTGGTCCCATGAACTTCTCCTCAATTGATCCAAGGCGGTCGAGACCTGGCTGAAGCTCAAGGTGGTGGTTGCTGTCACCCTCAGCAATAGTGGAAACAATGGCAATGTAGTATCCCTTGGGGCAGACGTTGTGTGCAGATGAAACGACCGCAACGTAGATATCTAGAAGAAATGTTAGCGTTTGTTTCTGCAAGCCAGCTATTCTTCACATACCATGCTTACGTCCGACCTGGGACTGGGGAATAATCAGTTGCAGGGAATCGGCATCCGATGTGTTGGGAACGGGGTGGTTGAGAATGCAAATGGCCTTGAGCAGGTGTCCGGTAACACGGGCCTTGCTGGGGAAGTATGAAGGGTCGGCGAGGATCTTGCCTGCCTTGGTCTCAAACTTCATACCGTCGCCAGGAACATCCTTCTCCTTCATGGTGGCCTTGATGCCAACAACCTTGCCGCCTTCGTAAATGAACTCATCTACGTCGGTGTTGAGCATGTAGGTACCACCATAGATGGCAGAGAGACGAGCAAAACCCTGAGGAAGTTCTCCGAGACCGTACAGAGGGTAGATGTATGGCGACTTTCCATATCGTGCCATGGAGTTTACATACAACCTGATGCGCTGGATGGCATCTTCTGCCGCACCCTTCTGCTCAATGTAGTCGTCGGTTGGGTAAAGAGCCATAGAGTGGCCAACGAAATCGCGAGTGGAGGGCTCAAGACCAAATTTGTCATAGATATCCTTCATGGTGCTGTTCTTGACGTCCATGCCTATTGTATCTCAGTCATTCTGCTTCAAAAAACATTTCGTCCACAGAGAGTCATACCCTTGTGTGTGGCTGGGTCGTCCTCCTTGTAGCCACCAACCCACTCGAGGAAGTTCCTCGCTCGGCGCTTCTCGAAAAGACCCATAAGGGGCGATCGAAGAGCCTCACCGGCGTCTGAGGGGACCTTGGCAATGGTCGCCTTGCTGCCGTTGCCCTGCTGAACATAGCTGCCAGCAATTTGCTTGAAGTCGAGGTATTTAGTGACGTCGGTGGAAACGAGGATGTTGGTCAGTTCGCCGTTGGCCATGAGAAGCTTAGGGACGAGATCGATGTTCCAGTCGTTGACGCGGCCATACTTCTTCCATGGCTCACCCTCGGTCCGGCCGTATCGCTTGAAGAGCTAAACGACGTGTCAGTGAGTTGAGTGATGGTTATTGTCCTTGGATACGTACTGCCTCGATGTTCAGCGATGCTGCCTCACTGTGTGGTGTCAGCTTTAGTTCCCCTCAACAGCGTCGACCAGCGCCACGCACCCTCCGTAGTGGTCATTGCGATCAATGTGGAGCACCTTCTTGCCCTTTACACTAAGCACACTGCAAGGATATCGTCAGCCCGTGTCCGGTTTTGCTTTTTGTCGGGGTGCTTGTGTTACCCTGAAAGCACACATTCGGTGAGACCTGGAGGATGGTTAGCTGCGTTGGCCTGCGTGTTGGGTAGGCGGGGTAATGTGGAATGGCAACGCACCTGTTCCCAGGACCACGACGTCGTATTCTGGAGCAATTTCTTCCATGGCTGAATGAGGAGAGTTGTGAGGATAGGGGTGGTTTGCAGACTGCAGTAGAAGAAGTCCACTAGAAGGCGCGTGGGTAGGTCGACTGAGGGCGGTGAGGTGGATGTGGGGTTGGAGCTCTTTGGGAAGCGCCTCGCCAATCTGGTCGAGTTGTTTGTGCTAGCACTACTTTCATAACTCAACGCGTTTGTTATATGCTACGCTAGTGCTGTTCACTATCTGACACCATGCAAGACGAAATGCAGAATAACCAGGCTGCCTTGACTGCTGGACGAGCCTTTACTTGTACATTTGCACGGTGAACCCTTGTTCATCGCCGCCCGAGGATCTTGCATATACCCCGTACTGATTATAGTCGCATATATGTACCATCATTGTCCCCAGCATTCCAAATAGATGTGCAGAACCCGTCCGAGTGCACGCTAGCTCGGTGAATTTGGTAGCAATAAGGACATCCGGGCCGTTTTCAAACGTGCAGCATTCATCTCGACTCTGCTATCGTCTTGTCCTTCCCAGGCTCCTCGCTCGTCGAGGCAGCTTGAGCCTCATATGGTGCATCGTCAGCTTCTAGCGGATCCTGGAGAGGTTGTCAGCACCATGCGTCCGATTGCGTCGAGGGGCAAACTCACATATGGCGGTTGTGTGTATTGTGGGCCATCCGCCCTTGACAAATCAATGTCTGGATCACGCTGTGCCAAAGCATATGCCTCTTGATACGCCTGGTGCCTCTCAGCCAGCGTATCCAAGATTGCCTTCATCGTCTCCTGCACTGTCTTGTCGCGCCCTTGATTCTCATAGTCGCCATAGCCAGCATTGAGGCGCTTCCGCTCAATCTTCTCCGTCGCAAGGCGATTTCGCTCCTTGACGCATACCCACCACAGCTGGTGGAGGGCATCCCAATCTCGACTACGCAGCTCGCCGACAGTCCACGCTCTGCCTGTGTCTCCGTCAGCTACCGCCTCGCTCGCCATGAAGCCAACTGCTGCATACCATGCCTCTGCTCGTCGACTGGTGTCTGCAGCAGCTTTTGGTCCTTGAAGAAGCTCCATAGTCCATGGTCTGGGGTGCCTGTAATTTTGTGTTCGATTGGTACCGGCTTTGGTAATTGCTGGTTCTCAAAATCTTTTTGTCTGACCGACAGTGTTTGCCGTGGCCGCAGGGCTGTTGCCCTCACCGCAGACACGCCTCTGATTTTGTTGTTGTCCCTCTTCCGCCATTGCGGTGACGTCGAAAAGCAGGCCCTGGAGCCGTTGTGCGCGCATTGGGCCGAGGGGACGAGAAAGGCGAGGACAGCGTCGGATGGCGTCGACGCCAAACCGGGTCGTAGCAGTCGTGCAGAGGGCATCGTCGCCATGGCGTTGGTGTGGGCTGTGCTTGCCGACAGATGGGCGCAGCAAAGTTGCAGCTGGAAAATGCGACTGGGGTCTGCAGCTAGCGTGCCCAGCGCCCATGGATGGGATGGCCCAGTCAGCCGTCGGGGGTGTGTGATCCCCCATAGATATAAAGAGAAGCCACCCCCGCCCTCCTATTCTGCTCCTCACCAAACCTCGCGCTCATCACCCCGTGTTGGGCGCCCTCCGATAGTTTCCAATTTCATTTGACGAATTCTTCGATTTCACCAGCGGGTACCAGGACCCGCACTACAACATCTCAACATGCAATATACCTCTGCCACCATGCAGTTCGGCTTTACCCGACCCTTCCGCCCGTTCTGGCAACCCTCTAGATTCACTGTTGCCATCAAGCCTCCATGGACTACAGTCTGCTGATTGGCAACTTGAGCCTTCTTATTCCGCTCCTCAAGACAACAACCATTTGATCGACACTTCTTCCCTTCTGGCCAGCTCTTCCGCCTCGACCGGCAACCTTATCGTACCGGACGCCTCTCTTTATCCCGCTACTGATTTCAACCTCTTCCCTACTGGTGATTCGCCGTATCTTGGTCATGATTTCCAACTGTTTCCCCAAGGCCCTGCTTCACTTTCTACTGCTGGAGATACTATTGATACGCTTGCTATGGCTCAAAGCATGAAACTTCCCAACAACATGGACACGGCAGCGCAAATGAGCAGAGGTAAGAGTTGCTTCACGACGCATTGAGTGATCAGTGTCTGATTTGTATAGATGCCTCTCAGTCTGGTTCTTCTTGGACAAGCCACAAGGATCGGAGCTCGTCATCTCCTGAGCACGTTTCTTCATCCAAGACATCGTCTACTAAGAGCAGTCCTGTGGTGCAAGAGCCCGCTTCGCGTATTGAGAAGCGAAAAGCCAACACGCTTGCTGCCCGTCGTTACCGCCAGAAGCGAGTTGATCAAATGAGTACTCTGGAAGCTGAACTGAAAGAGATCAAGGCCGAACGGGATGAGCTCAAGGTCCGCAATGCGAGGCTTGAAGGCGAGGTGGAAACTCTCCGTGCTCTTCTTCGTGCGCAAAAGTAATGGTGCATTGGCAGATGAGCAAAAGGGGTGGGCTCTGACCTTATCGGTGGGACATGGTCGGTTCGTGGACTCTTGTAACGTGTCTATGTGCATGTAATACAATTCAATTCTTTATCTACGAAGACTACAAATGATGGCGAAGACTTATACAGGTGGCAGTCTTCGGTGCAACAGTCGTTGCCAGCATCATATCTACTCATAATGACAAAGGATGAAGGGCATGGTTGAAAATCACGATGAGGTCTAGGCAAGTTGGGCGCAGCGTAATTCGGTGGGGTAGTCATGGAACGCTCAAGGCTTACGCCCTGCTTGATGTGAGGCATTTCCTCTGACATGTCAGCTTCCGTGGCGCACTCAGATATGTGCACTGAATTCTCCTGTTACATACTAGGCCTATACTCACCATGTGAGGCTTCGCTCTTGTCCACAGCCAGGCATTCGGCAGTGCTTCGCTGCATGGTACTATATTCAGACCCACCTGGCTGTCCAATCAGACAGCAGTATAGTGAGTCATTCTCACTCACGATGCATACAGCTAGCGCTAGGCTTTTAGTGGCTTGCCTTACAGCCACACTCCACGACCTACCGTCTGCATATGTACATGCTCATGTACACCTCCACTACTCGCATATCCTCTTCGTAGTCTTGCGCTGTGCCTTGCGCCCTACAGCGACCGTGGGCACTTGACGTCACTATCCGCCCGCAGCTTGGACCTCGGCTCCTCCGCATTCCTGTCCAAACAACTGTGACAACAACGGTAGTTAGTTACATCCAATTTCGGCCCAACTCTAGCGAGCTGCACAGCTCGAGGCGACCCCGCGCCCAGTAACTTGTTCTGTCAAAGTCTGCATCACGTTACGATGCTTTGATGAGATCAATTAAACAAAGGTCCTTTCCATGTCAGACTCTGCCGCTTCCAAGTACGCATGGCGTTCTCTAGCTAAATACTTACCTTGATTGCCGTGGGCCTCGACGAGGGGTCTCTTAGCCATGTATAACTATGTCTCGACGCGATTCATGGGCTGAGCTCACAGTACCGCTTGTAACAAGGTCAGTCAAGTTGCGCCTCAGATTGCTGGTCATTCAACCGCGTGCAACGCAGGTTTCAGCCTCACCGATCTCAAACATCTCGAACGCAACGTTGACGCCAGTCCACTGTCCCGTTGCCGAGTCTATCAGTTCATGCAGGCTCCCTGTTACATACCCGGATATATCCACTCGAGACTGTTCTCTAGCCCGTTTGTAGTTAGCAGACGTTTGGGACGTTCGCAATGCATCAGTTTTGTATCCCAGTTTGGAAATGGCCCCCGTTTTGTGACCCTACACCCTTTGTCGGGGGCCACACGGCAGCCCACTTTGTTTTTGCTTCTAGCGTATACAACTCAAATATTGCCAGGCCCCGGGCCGATCTTATGGGAATATGAGGTGGTTAGTAATATACCGGTTTCTAAACCCAGCCCTCCACGTTTTTCCGACCTCCTAGCCGCATCACGAACCTATCATGTCGCGTCAGGCACACCTGCGGATCGTTGCGCGTCGAGCCATGGCTTCCGTTCCGCTAGCACCATTCCCATGGCTGTATTGATAGTCTTACTTAGTCGGCACACGCAAGGGTCACGAAACGCTTTACGGAGCAGTATCTTCCGCTGGTGGAGAACCCGGGGAACCCTAAATCTTGGGGGCTCGCCCCCTATAGACCACGCCTGGTAGCCAACGCGTCCATGTTCATTGTTTGTTCTCATCATATCGTTCTCTCGGCGCGCATCTCTACCGTCGCCATTCTCGACTTGGCGCCGACCACAATCATCTCCTATCTCCAGGGAGCAGCGAGGAGGGCTAGACAAACATGTATTTACGCCCAGGATTCGTCGTGGTGATCGTTGGGGGAGTTCTGACAACAATATCAACAATTGTCGTGGCACTCCGGTGAGTTGATGTGACAATGACAGCTGTTGTCCAAATCCTAATCAGCCGCTACAGATATTACTGCCGGTACTTTCTTGTCGGATCGCTCAGCGCAAGCGACCATCTCATGTTGGTCTCGCTAGTAAGGGTTTTCCAATGCCAAGCTCAAGGCCAGTGCTGATAAAGTTGACTAGGTCGTTGCATGGGGAACTTTCATAATCAACTACTACCAAGATGTGACGAGCAGTGGCTATCGACCCTCATACCTCCGTAGACCTGTAAGAGAAAGATTTCAACCAACCCCTCCGAGAATTGTTCTGACACATACGCTCAGGACAAAAGGCCAGAGATCGAGGGCTACGTGCTGGGAGTGCTCATCTCCTGGTGGGCCTACCGGTTCGTCTACGTTATAGGACTTGGCTTCGTTAAGCTCAGTATCCTCTTTTTCTACCGCTCCATTGCTGCCAACGTCACCTTTCGCCGAACCGTGTATGGCATGATGGGGTTTGTGGTGATGTACACATTTTCTGCGACCATTGCCGCAATCTTCCAATGCCAGAATCCAGCGAGCGCTTGGTCCACCACAAATTACTTTGCACAATTCGACCCCACCATCCAGAGAGAGCCTGCTGTATGCTGGGATCCAGTTCCGCTCTGGGTTTTTTCGTCGGCGTGCAACCTACTCACCGATATCATCCTCCTGTTGATGCCACTGCCGACGCTGTTGAGTCTCCGGATACCAATGGGCAAACGACTTGCATTGATTGGCATATTTTCCGTGGGATTGATGGCTATTGTTGCGTCTTCAGTACGCATGTGGGTCATGTACATGTGGGCTGAGTCTCCTTACAACTCTGCGCGCTACGGCGCGGATCTGCTCCTGTGGGGCCAGGTTGAGACCAACAGTGGCATTATATCTGCCTCTGTACCATTTCTCCGTCTTCTCTTCCGCAACAAGGAAAAGAAGCCACAACAGAACGGCACGCCACCGAAGATTTACGCGACTCCGCCAGAAGCCCGGCCACCAACGCCGCCAAAGGACGACGAGTACAGTCCACGCCAAGTGCCGGATGTGGAGATGTGGCCACTTGCAAACGAGAAGGGCCTTGACAGAGGAGAGTCTGTTGGTTTTATCACAATACACGAAAGATCGACGATAGCAAGAGAGTCGAATTGGGGCCCGTTCGTCACAATACCAGAGAGCTTGAGCTCGGATGGCAAGGATAGTCCACATCTGGGACCTCCGTTTTCGCCGCATAAGACGGCGTGAAGCAAATGAAATTTATTTTGTTCGGTTTATATGTAAGTAATGTTTATATGTGCATGTCCGGAACGAGGTATACGTGTCTTGATAAGAGCGGAAGTAGCTGGGCTACGGGGCTGTCACGCAGCTGATGATTTTTCGTGTATAATACGAACGCATATCAAAAATGTAATGATGTTAAATCTTGCCGGCATTGAAACTGATGGCGCCTTGTCTCGGCAAGGCTCGTTCCCGTGACCAAGAGGCGGGAGGAGGGTAGTTCCAACAGAACATGTTGCACAAGAGCGGCAGCATAAGCATGGGTGTGGAGATGGCGCCTTGCCGATCGGGGCTAACAGCCCTGAGGCGGACGCATCCATGCCATGTCAGACGCCGATCCTCACGCTGCCGGAATCTGGAGCGCAGCGGAGAGGTCACGTAGCCTATTTGCATGTGTCGTTAACGTCTGAAGCTTCACTGCCTGTCGTGCTCACAAGTACAAAACCCTTGTTCAACACAGCACACCATTCAACCGCCCGCTTCCCCACATGCCGGCATAAGAGCAATCACGCTGAAGCCCTCCTAGCTTGCCCACCGTGGCTTCCTCACGCCGTATCAACTGGTTCCTCGCCGCCGTCGCTCTCTTCATTGGCACCACCGCCATCCTGGCTTCGATTCGGCTCGGCGGGCGTGTACCTTCCATCCTGCAATACATCAAACCCCCTCCTTTGCGCAATCCCCTCTACACCCAGCCCTTTCGTCCCCTCACAAACTCCACCATGGCCCCGGCCCAGTACAAGAAGCCGCCTCAGCTGCCCCCCAAGTTCACTGCTACCAAGCAGAGCCTAGTCGATGATGCTAAGCGATTGGTATGTCGCCCTGTTTCTTAATCATGTCTTATTGCAGTTATTGTTGTTATTGTTGCTGTCGTCGTCGTCTTCGCTGCCTTGGTCCCTGCAGCACGTAATGCTTCGGATAGATGCTGACATGCGTCCCCAGATTGACAGATCACGCAGTGTCCAAGACAGCATTGTCCGCGATGTCAAGCCCGAGAGTGCAACCTTTGCCAACACAGTCCTCCCAATTGCCCGCGATGACAACAAAATGGCCATTGAATCGCATATTCTCGGCTTCTACAACGCCGTCTCGACCAGCAAGGAGCTACGTGACGCCTCGAGCGAGGTCGAACAGATGCTCGATGACTTTGGCATTGAATCATCCATGCGTGAGGACGTCTTCAATCTCGTTGATGCGGCGCTGAAGAAGGGCGAGAAGCTGGACCCTGAGTCGCAGCGGTTGCTGGAGAAGGACCACAAGTCCTTCATCCGCAATGGTCTGAACTTGCCTGCGGGCCCCAAGAGGGACCGGTTCAAGGAGATCAAGCAAAGGCTGAGTCAAATCAGTATCGCCTTCCAAAAGAACCTCAATGAGGAGAATGGAGGATTGTGGTTTACACCAGATGAGCTGCACGGTGTTCCCGAGGATGTTCTTTCTGGTCTCAAGAAGGGCGAGGGTGAGAATGAGGGCAAACTCTTCCTCACCTTCAAGTACCCCGACCTGTTCCCCACTCTCAAATACGCCACCAACCCAGAGACGCGAATGAAGGTCTTTGTCGCCAACGAGAACAAGTGCAACGACAACGTAGCGCTTTTCAGGGAGGCTATCCTCCTCCGTGACGAGGGAGCCCGTCTCCTTGGCTATGACAACCATGCGCAGTTCCGGATAGAAGACAAGATGGCAAAGACTCCCCAGACAGTCGACGACTTCCTCGGAGATTTGCGCAAAAGACTCGCACCAGGCGGTAAGAAGGAGATTGAGAAGCTGATCGAGCTCAAGAAGCAAGATGCCAAAGAGAATGGACTGACTGGTCCGTTGGTCGATGACTACTACCTATGGGATAATAGGTATTACGACCGCCTAATGTTGGAGAAGGACTACCAGCTCGATCACCAGGTCATTGCTGAATACTTCCCTCTGTCAACAACAATTCAGGGCATGCTGAAGATCTTCGAGGAGCTCTTCGGTCTAGTCTTTGTCGAGATTGTTGGCGAAGAAGACAGGGCTGCGCTTGCGGATGGCGGCAAGGGATCCGACATTGTTTGGCACGAAGATGTACAAATTTTCAGCGTTTGGGACGATGAAGGCGAAGGTGCTGGTTTCGTTGGTTACTTGTACCTTGATCTTTTCCCACGAGATGGCAAATACGGCCATGCAGCCAACTTCAACCTGCAGCCTGGCTACATTGACGAAAACGGCAAGCGACGCTACCCCACCACTGCCCTCGTCTGCAACTTCTCCAAGCCTACGCAGAAGAAGCCTTCGCTACTGAAGCATGATGAAGTTGTCACTCTCTTCCACGAGCTTGGACACGGCATTCACGACCTGGTGTCTCGCACAACCTACTCTCGCTTCCACGGCACCAACACTGTCCGTGACTTTGTCGAGGCTCCGTCCCAGATGTTGGAGAACTGGTGCTGGACGCCCTCGCAGCTGCGTTCGCTGTCACACCACTACTCGTATCTATCTCCCGAGTACGAGAAGGCGTATCTGGAATCGTCTGGCAAGGATTCAAAGCCTTCGGAGCAGATTCCTCAATCGCTCATTGCCAATCTCATCTCTACCAAGCACGTCAACGACGCCCTCTTCAACTTGAGGCAGTTGCACTTTGGTACTTTTGACATGGCTGTCCATGAACCTGCTAGCCATGAGGAGCTTGAGAAGATGGACATTACTGAGAAGTACAACAAACTGAGATACGAGATCAGTCAACTCAAGGGACCTGAGTCACTGGAGGGTGACAAGAAGGGTGACTGGCACTGGGGCAATGGAGAAGCTACCTTTGGTCACTTGATTGGTGGCTACGACGCCGGGTAAGTCATTACAACCCGTGTTGAAGAATAAAACATGCTAATGAACATAGATACTACGGCTACCTCTCCTCTCAAGTCTACTCTACGGACATGTTCTACACCGTATTCAAGTCCGACCCCATGAACGCCAAGGAAGGTCGTCGTTACCGCCACACTGTCCTTGAACGCGGTGGCTCACAGGAGGAGATGGACATCCTCGAGGAATTCCTTGGTCGCAAACCTCAAACCGAGGCTTTCTACAAGGAGTTGGGCATCTCGCAGTAAATTTTGCGTGTTGCTATGGAATATCTTAGCAAGTTAAATGCAAGACACCTAGAGTAAAGAAATATCATAAATGCAAAAGATTTAAATCTCCATGACTGGTTCCGCGTAAGAAAAGAAATACTCACGTCTTACTTTTGTATAGTGAATGTTGCCAGTAGGTCAGATTGTGCTCCGTACCTAGGAGAGTGAAATCACCACCCGCAACCAGAGTTGTCCTAACTATTCGAATCACCTGAAAATTGTCCACGTAGCATCGTTAAAGGACCTACTATACGTCACCTATTTCTCCACACCCTTTCTTTTTTTCTCTCCTCTAAACACAAACAACAACGTACCATTCCCCATTTACGATCTTCGCTCGTTGGTAAAAAAAAAACCGGGTAAACGAATCAAATACGTCACACTTTCCTTTTTTTGGCATCGGATATCATTTAGGGTTTTTTTTAAAAAGAAATCTTTCCTAGTTAGTGAAGTTGGTATTTAGTTATTTTTGATTACGTTTAAGGAGGGGAGAGAAGAAGAAGAAGAAGAAGAAGAAGAAGAAGAAGAAGCGATGTAGCTATGTCTTTTTTTTTTAAAAAAAAAAGAAAGAAAAAGAAAAAGGAGATCATCATTATAAAGTTGAAAGTGTGGTTTAAAGGATATCCAAGTCAAGGACACACTTATAATACAATTTAAACTATCTTTGAATATAGAAAGTAGAGTGGAAGCTGGGAGTAAATTAGATTCTGTAAGATAGGCTTGCCTACTACTACCTGATAAGAACTTAAATCGTTGCTTACTTGGAAAATGAAGCGAGTTTTGTATTTAGGATGATAGTGTGTCAATTGAGCGTAAATGTAGTACGTGATGTTTGAAACTTGGGAGACACAACATCCTAAACGAGACTATAACCAAAGGTGGGGAAAGTTCGATCATCAAGTCAAATTTTTTGCAAATGAATTACACATATTCAACAGATGCTTCGTAACCAAAAGCCATCTAGAGAACCCTCCCACTAATTACTAAATCCCCTTCATTTCCACACTTTTTATCCAACTTACAAGCTGAACCAAACACTAACAGCCCCAGCAACTAATCCCCAAGCGGCAGCAACAACACCGCGACGCGACTCCGCAGCACCACCATCAAACTGCGGCATACCAGCGCCAGCCCCAAAGTTATGTTCCCAGCCCTTGGTAAGCGCAACAGGGCCCTGTACGCTCTGTGAAGTACCCAGGATAGTGATATTCTGAATAACAAGCTCAGTCTCGAATCCAAAGTCACCGCTCATGCTGAAGGCGCCGTTGTTGAAGGAGAAGTTAATGAGCGAAGTAGACTTCTGCTCGAGGGAATCTCCATCATCGAGGTAGAGCGAGCCAGAGGCTTGGTTGGTAGCATTTGGCGCGATCCAGAGGACAAAGTTTTGCTTGCGGAGCTCTGTGGTTGTGTTTGCGGATTCGGCGCGGAGAGGGAGGATGGAGCCACCCTTGACGTGGAGAGGGATGGTGTCGAAGCCTACGTCGGTGAGGTTGATGTTCTCGCCGTTTCCTTGGATGCGCTCGCCGGTCCAGTAGTCGTAGAAGACATCCTTGGGAAGGTAGATGGAGACGGAGGTCGAGTTTTCTTCGAGGACGGGGGAGACGAGGATGCTGTCACCGTAGAAGAATTGGTGCTCGATGCCGAAGGTTTTGGCGTCGGTGGGGTAGTGGAAGAAGAGGGGGTTCAGGCTGGGCAAGCCGGTGGTGGTCTGGCGGTGGAAGGCAGTGTAGAAGTAGTCCAAGAGCCTGTACCTGACTGCGATGGCGTTCTTGGCTGCGGCCCTGGTAAGAGGCCAGCGGTAGTACTCTTGGCTGATGGAAGTGTCACCGGCGTGGTTCCTCATGAATGGGTAGAAGGCACCGAGAGTGGTCC